TTAAATGGCTCTTTTAAAATAAAGGATAGAAACAAAGAAAATATTTATTATGAAAATATGATTTGTTGATTAAGTCTTTCTAAGAATTTTATAATCCTAAACTTCCTCTCTACTATGTATTTTCTTGTAAAATAGATTATTCTCTTCTCTTTTCCTAGTGGAATTACATTTTACTTTCTGCAAAGTAAATGTTTGATTTTTCTATATATTCTACTTAGAGCAAATAGATTAACATCTTTAATTATATTCACAGTTGAATGAAATTTCGAATAAGAGAGTTGTTAATTGTCAATACTAGATCTAGAAACAATATTTATATAGAATGTGGAGAAGAGGAGGGGTGAATGAGCGAGCTTGAGGTTCGATGACAAGACAACACTGTCACCCACATCCACATCCTAGTTTACAACTCACGGAAACTTTTTCGAATGGTTTTACATTTGCCTCAGGTTAAATGAATGTATAGAATGTTTTGCTTGAAACTTTAAGGAAAACATCCTGCATCAATCTCTACATTGATCCTACTAGATGAAACTAATATATTATTGTAAAGAAATATTTGTTTTACAAGATGATAAAAAACTCTTCTGGTTCAACTTTGAAAAAAAGTAACAAACTTTCATTCCACTATTAAAGCGGAAAATTGATTGAAATTATACATGTGTTTCTCCAGAAGAATGCCAATGATACATTCATGTCAATCAGGGGCGATTATAACATCTACTCAATGGTAATTTGAAATGTTCGAATTAGCATTGGATTGAAAGTAATTATCGTCTCTTTCGACGAGTGTTGTTCTAAAAACTACGTCGGGATATAGATTATATCAATCGAGATATTTTTCAATGAAATTCAACTTACGAAACGTATCGACATGTAACGATTCTTGATCTTTTGTAATCCAGTCAAGTTGATGTAGTTCGAACAGTGGTACAGGAGTACTCAGTTTTAATTCAATCATTTCAGTAATGGTGCCAATTCTTTTAAACAATTTTTGCACATCGATCGTCACCGTTTGTGAATAGGTTTCGTCGTTGTGCAATTCAAAATAATGCTCAACATGTACAAGATATTGTTGGGAACCTAATTGATCGAATATAAATCGATGTGCATACAAAGGTATTGCATTCGACAGAGCCAACCAACTTTGACAATGAATATCCGATTAGTTAGCATAAAATGATGTATTCAGCAAGGAATAGGTCCACAGAGAATGCATAAAAAATCGTTGATCACCCACTCGATATAGTCGAATACTATCTGCTGATCATGTGATAAGAAAAATATGTTTACTGGAAATAATAAGACCTTTGTCAAAGGCAGTCTCATTTAAAGTTTTACCAACACTCACTGAACCATCATATATATTTTCATCACCTTCAGATCGATCTATAGAAGAGTAAAAACAAAATTATCTCCGATAATGAAAGCAATTCATTTCCAATAAAAACTATCTTAACAGATGTGGGCCAAGATATAGCCTTCAGTTCATATCCACAGCCTAATTTTTTTGTTGAACAATATATGTCAAATCATAACTTAACATATATGCAAAAGTAATTTCAAAAGCAACGAACAAATAAATTCACTTGCATTTTTTTCTATTAAACACGTATGAGACTTTAATTTCTTTTTTTTCGAATGGGACTCATGAACTATAATGAAGAATTTTGAATGCATTTATACTATGATATTTTAAAGATTCTTCCATAAAATATTATTCAAAGAAGAATATATAGAAGTTTTTATAATTCTTTGTCCTTGAACGTCTTGTTAACATCTATTTTCGATGAGGCAGACTAACTAAATCCTATGCAATCTTGATTTTGTGAACGTATGAAAACATGTCGATGGCTGATCTCAACCAAGAATTACCATTTTGAAACACCTTTTCGTTGAATAACCGTCTCAAATCTTTACAAAGATATGTGCACACGTGTCTGAACACGTGAAGGCAAACATATATACAATGATATTTTATTCCATAGAACTCTCTATCTCCATACAATCAGTACAATTTCTATTCTTATGAATGAAAAAGAGAAATACTCGTGTCTTTGTTTAACCTTACAACGTGATGTCTCTGAGTGCTCTGTATAACACATTCTGTACTTTTTTTGTCATTCTGTCTTTGTTCTGTTTTCTACTGTATATATACTCGTTCGCTTTTTCTCTTTTCATCTTATATCGTTTGCAATCGCATTTTTACATTTTTACTTCTATTGTATACACTATCGACGTTAAATTAAGTACAATAATGGCTGACAAAAGCAACGCAAGTGTTTTGGGTGGACATGCTCAATACGTGAAAGGAGCTGCTGAAACGGCAATCGGCAATGTTACAGGTAGTCAAGCTTGGAAAGATTCGGGTGCACACGATAAACAAGAAGCGACTGAAAAAATGAGAGCAGCAAATCAAGGAACAAGCGAGTGTCCAGTCATCAGTGGCAGTACAGAGAAGAAAATAGGCAACATGGTCGGCTGTGAAGGAATGGTTCGCAATGCTCAAGAGAAAGAGAGAAAACAGTAATTGTATGTGTTACTATTATAAGCAATATATTAACAAAAATAAATGTTTCTTGTGTGTTTACCTTTTTTTTTTTATTGTAAAAAACTATATGAACTATGAACTAATAGTAAAATAAACCAACAATTTTTTCCTGGCACCATATGTTTATCTCATTTCTTATGATACTCGAATCGACTCTGCTATCCTTGTTCTAAGTTTGCTTGAAAACAATTATAATTGTCCTTGACAATTGCGAGTATTATTTAGTCGTGTAATCCAAATAGAAGATAATTAAAAATAGACTTGAATAAAGAGACGACTAAAATTTCAACAATGCAAATGATTTTTTGTGCCATACATGCTTAGCTGAAATTACATAAGCGTACCGAAGATAAATCAGCAAAAAACCAATCAACTGAAGCAAATCCTAGTATAAATATAACAAATAATGTCGACAAATAAATAGAAAAAAAATAGAATTCGACATCCGAACGATATAAAATATAGTAAGAAAATAATAAGTGCACGAACATAATCAAAGAGTTCGACGAGAGAGAGCATTCCAATATTGATTGTGCTCATAATTATTGCAAATGATATTGTGACTGAATCAAGATCGATAGAAACTCAATCAACTTCATTATTCAACTTATATTGTGTGAGAGATGAAATAGTATTATTCATTGTTTCTATTAATTGATAATTTTCAAATGTGTTCTGTTTATGTTAATAACGATCTTTCTACTAAGACTGGATATGGGTGTGCTTCGGTGGATATCATTAACCGAACGAGCAATCTGTCAACTATCATTCAACAATGCCCATATCCACACCCTTCAGTAGCACTAATAGAATTAACGATACAAGAACAGCAACAATATTCTATTCTTTTGCCAGCATAAATTCAAAATAAGAGCTATGAATAGATCTATTTTAACTTTACTAAACTTCTTCAGTCTTTTTTTTTTCATTTTATTTATAGTAATAAAATGTTGCTAATGAAAGAGACTTACATAAGATCTCAAATCTAATATGATACTCAATTTATTTCAGAAGAATAAATAAATAAGACGATGTTTAATACATTTTGATTATACTAAATCTTTACACTAATCTGTTGGAATTGTAAACTTTTGAGTAAATATTGAATGATGATAAGAACCAAGAAATGCAATTTATTACAATAAAACAGATGGATTATGAATCAGTAATTGATGACCAAAAAAAATTTCTTGTTGTGTTCTTTTTGTTAGTCACTTTTAATCTAAACCAATGCCTCAAAAAAACTGTTCTCTATCATATTATTGCAAAAGAACACTAACGTAAAACTGTAGTATACAGGCATAGATTATAATAGAATGCACTACTTAAAAATCATTTATGCCTAATGTCATTTTTTCGCGCCAATTGTACCAAAACGTTGCAATTCACTTATATATATGTATGTCATAGAGAGTTAGCAATAGGTGACGCAGATTGTCACTAGTGTTTCGAAGAAATTTTAGATAATCGCCTGCTACTTTCTAGAAGCATAACTGGATATCGCGCCTGCAATCTTTTGAGAGCTACCTCACTCTAAACAAACATGTTTCCAGAAACCGAAACTCCTTCGAAAGCCGCTTCAGAAATCCATAAACGTATCCAAAAAGGTTTCCGGACCCATCTTGGATTTCTGAAAACATCTTACAGTTGCAAGATGACCAGAAACTGTTGGGTTTTCGAAAAGTCGGGTCCGAAAACTCGGAATTGTATTCTCAGAAATTCTAGTGCTATTTTCGACAAATGGAAGGTTTCCTCGGAAATCTCTGTTGATTTGAAAATCTTAAGCATATCCTTGTATACCTTTGCATTTTTGATTTCTGAACATCGGAAATGATGAAAGCGTTTGCTAGAAATTCAGAATGATTTTCGAATATATCTCAAAAAACCTTCAGGGTTTTCGACTCTTCAGAAACTCTAAGTTTTAGGAAAGAGTCTCGAAATATCATTAAGTTTTATACAAAATCTGAAGAGCATTCGACCATTTTTTTTTGTTATTTTCACATTCTCATTATATAGTTTACAGATTTAGGCGTGACCCGACATGCATCACACAAAAAAGTTATTCGATGTCTTGGAAATTGTTTGTAAAACATTAGGACTCGTAGAATTCCAATAGAATCGTGTGTTTTCGAGAGAATCTTGTCTCGGTTTTACAATGATAAATGCGTTGTCATATGAATACAAATAAATTCATATTTTCTCTGTCCTTATTTCTTTCATATTAATTGTTTTTTTCTATCAATGATTGGTTGGAAACTGCACAGAAATACGTAATTTTATTTTCAAGATCTTTTCATTAATATATAAGTTTATTTTGAAATTTTTATTATTCATTATTTTACAATAATATATTCAAATAAATGTTTTGTTAAAAAAGAGAAAGATTTAAATTTTTAATGAAATAAGTTGAATTAATTTTGAATAAAAATTTTTTCGAATAAATTGAAAATTAAATTGAGAGATTTAAAAGAGACAATAGTTTGATGATGAGATAAAACCAAAGAAAAACAATGATATTGTTTGGATTTTCTAAAGAAAAAATATATTCATATGAAAATCATAATCATTTAAATAACTTACTTCTCACACTATCTCCTGTTGGTATTGGTGTTGTTGTTGTTGTTGTTGTTGTTGTTATTGTTATTGTTCTATTCTCACCAAGACAAGTTGTTAAATTGTAATTACAATAGCTCTGAGCACAAAAACATCTCTCCATAGGCCATGATATAGTCTGATTACCATTTACATAACGAAAAATATAATTGATATAGAAAGAAGATGATGTTTCATTGTACGACAATGTTGTACTTAATTCCTGATTAAATTGATATACTCTAGAAAGTGCTCCTGATAGATAATACTTGTAAATATCTGGGGTAAGTGCAAAAAAAAATGGACCATCGCTGTCCATTTGATGCATGCATAGTAATGTGTTGTTAATAGTATATTCATTGCATTTTTGAATATCAATATAAGGAGAAGCAAAATTTGCACAATAGAAACTATTATTTAATGGATCTGATGAATCATAACAAGATATTGGTGTATTCATTTCAGGAATCATTGAAGAAAGAACAGGAGGTGCAGAGTTTGTTTGCAATTGATTAGTTACTGATGATTGACATGAAGTAAAATTGATATTACACATATCTGTAGCACAAATACAAAATATTGATATATCAAATAATTCAAATTCCAGAGGTGAACAAAATCCAAAACCAATATCAGTGGTGTTTGAAAATCCTGTACATCTTTGAGCAATATTTGTATATATATTTGTTACTATCATACAGTCATATGATATTGTTGATGATGAACCATTATAAAAAAATTTATAAACACAATATTCACAGTCAGTTACCATATTATCATTATAGAAGCATGTTAAATTAAGACGATTTAATGTTTTGTTACTCACTGTTGATATATTACCATTGAAGAATCCTTCACTAGATCCAATCAATAACAACATTAATGAAAATATTCCAAACTCCATCTTTCGAAAAAAATAAATCAGGTAATACTACTATTCTATAGTTACACTTTTTCAATCGTGTATAATGCAAAAAGATTTTTTTTCTTTCACTTCTTATAAATGTATCAATCTATCCAGGTAAAATCAGAAAATAATAAACTATACCTTTTCAATACTTCTATTCCTTTCATATTCATCAAACTATTTTAATATTCATAATGTTTATCAAGAAAAAAAAATCTAATGATCTCAGTGACCTTATGAATAAATATGAAATATATTTTAACAGTGCTTGGTAATTTTTGATTGAGTCTTATTCATCATCAAAAACATTTCTATAAAAAATATTTATAATTACTAACGCAAACTTTTCTATTTATGAAACGATTAATTTGCCATGTGAATAAGCCCATATTGTCTACTTTTATTAAGTGCCGTCGCAATAGCGTCAAAACAGCATAAAACGTAGTTATTGAGGAGTAAGATGACACTATTTATCGCAATATTAAATAGTATTCATTGTGGCAACATAATGGTCAACAATAAAAGACAATGCTATGATCACAATACGTTTGAGTACCAAACAATGCACTCTCTTCTTTAAGTATAGAATTGTAAAATTTCTTTTTATATGATTGATTAGAAAATCCATCGATTCATAGAGTTTGAATATGATATTGTCGCTTGTTGTGTTAAACGTTTATTTTGACAATATTCGTGTAGTTTCGAAATAGAATGAAAAATTTATCTAGTTTTTGATATTCAAAAAGTTAGTCCTTTTGTCAATTATTCGATCTTTTTGTATTTGTTTTTCACAAAAACTGTGATATTACGTTTGTTGATAGATCATCACGTTAATAATAATAATAATAATAAAAGCACCATCAAACATTGTTGAAGACGATTGGTTTTGGGCATGTGTCGTGTATTGTGTCAATTGAGCTGACATTGATTATAAAACTATAAATAGCATGTAGACAATATTCTTTCAGTTAGTGATGGTTCGACTCATAGGAATAGCGTCCAAACAAAGTATCAAAAAAAGACAAACAATGCCTATCAACTGATCTAACAGCCATACTCACACCCACTCACATCCACAGCTGGGGCGAGTTGATACATGATGGTATGAGTACTCCTGTCAAACAAGAGATAAATTTATTTGCTATATGGTTCAATTGAACGATGGTCCCTAGAACAAGGGGGAAAAGCTAATGGAATGTAAACAACTTTTTCAAGTTTTAATGAATACACTGTCCGTAAAACTCACACAAGGCTATGAAATTCTTGCAATATACACCTTCTACTTCAACAGAAAAACAATATTCAAGTTAATCAATATTCTGATGCATCTACAATGAGTTTCTCAATCCATCGACGAAGCCAGTTATGTGCATTTTTTGTGCAAGAATAACACAAAGTATCTTTTTTAAATGTAGTTACCTATATAATTGAATTTATTTTATGAAAATTCAATCAAAAAAGCCTACATAAAATTAACAGAACGCTATGAAACATCTACGAAATGTGTATATTCTGTGGATTTTAAAAAAATAAGTGCATAATAATCAATATTTACATTCTATTTTGAGAATATATGAGCATTATGAGCAAAGCCATTGCTTACACATTCTTTTCAGAAGAGCAGTTGTCGAACCAATCTTAACACATTCTCAGCAGTTCAATTAGAATGATGATCGATCAAATGCATAAACCGATAGTCGAAGGTAATCATAGTTTGGTTGGGTTTAGATCATCTAGAATAAGATTGGATTTTAGATAGATTCCAATCGCATATCATCAAAATATCTGGTCGACATCATCGTCAACGATCAGTTGAAAGTCGAGTGAGATCTTTGGTATATCCTATTGTTGCTTTCATAGGTTTCAGTATAGAGTGATCATCTGTCATTAAGGTATTCACGATCGATGAATACCATTCATACAAATATTCATTCGACTCAAGAAAATAGGATTGATAATGAATGTTGTACAATAAGAAGTATTACTATCGGATTAACGTTTGTTATTGGAATGACATTTCTTCATCAATGGGGAAATTTTCAAAAAAGTTCTATTTTAATTTTTTCAATATCTGTTGTTATTGTTGCTTACCCATTAGGATATTTATGGAGTTTAATTATACCAAATTCAAAAAAATTTACATTAAAAGAACATGGACTTATTTTAGTTATGGCTAATGTTGCTTACATGCATAATTCTGTTTATATTCATTCAACGATGACAACATTAAAAGCTTTTGACGGAAAGCATATTCATTTTGGATATTATTTCTTTTTTGTTCTTTCAATTCAATTTCTTGGATTCGGTGCTACAGGTATTTTTTTATTTCTTTATTTAGTTTTCTTTTTCTTCTTTTTTTAAAATTATTGTAAAGAAAAACCTAAAACTATTGAAATTCTTTTAAGGTATTCTTCGTCGATTTTTGGTTTGGCCATGTGAATTAATTTGGCCACAAAATTTACCTTTGATAGCTGTATTACGTGCATTACATGATCGTAAATTAAGTGTAGCAGAAGCATCTTATGGAAATAAAAATCGAAGTTTAAAACAAACTCTTTTGGATAATCGTTTATTATTTTTTTTTGTTATATCAATAATATCATTTATATACGAATGGTTTCCATTATATATAATGCCAATATTAGCATATTTTTCATGGATGTGTTGGATAAATCCATCAAACAATTTTTTAGTACAATCAACAGCAGTACGTGGACTTGCTATGGGTGGTGGAGGCTTAACATTAGATTGGTATATACTAACTGAATATCTTGGATCACCATTAATTATACCTGGTTCAGTATTAATCAATATAGCATTTGGCTTTGCATTAATTATGTGGGTAATTGTTCCGATTGTATATGGAGCAAACATAAGAGATTTTACAACTTTGCCAATCGGTGGAAATGTATTAATTGAATTTACAGCATCCAGTTTTATTACAGCATTTACATTATTTGCAAGTATAACAGCTGTTTTTGTTCATACATTATTATTTCATGGTGTTGATATATGGCAACAATTTCGTACAAAAACTTTAAGATATATGGGAAACGATATGCATGCTCGTATGATATTACTTTATAAAACAGTACCTGATTGGTGGTATTTAGAATTATTTGCATTATCATTAATTATTGCTTGTGTTACATGTGATCGTGCTGGATGGTTAAATTGGTATTATGTATTATTAGCGTCATTTATTGGAGCTCTATGTACATTACCATTTGGATTAGTTGCATCAATAACTGGACAATTATTACATAGTTTACCTGTTTATTATTTATGTGTATTAATTGGTGTAGCATTATCATTACAAAAATCAGCTAAAAATATACATACATTTATAACTCTTGGTTATGTTATTTTTGTTCAAACATTAGTTTTAATTCAAGATATGAAATTAGCTCATTATATTAAAATAGGTCCACGTCCATTATTTTTTGCTCAATGTCTTTCTAGTTTAATATGTTCAACATTCTCAATTGGTATTCATTACTTATATCTTCAAAAAGGTTATCTAACAAAAAGTTCGTCTATATTTAATAATACAAAACTTGGTTGGACACTTATTAATAGTTATGATAAATTTTTTAATGGACCTAATTTACCTAATAGAGATTTATTATGGGCTTTTTTAGTTGGAGCATATATACCAATACCTGGATGGATATTGTCAAGATTTAAACGTTTTTCTTGGTTAAAAAAATTACATTGGCCATTAATATTTCTCACTATTAGTTGGATGCCATCAATTGTTTCACCAGGTACTTTATTTACTTGGCTTGTTATTGGTTTAATAGTTCATTTTATGTTTGGAAAATATAGATGGAGACAACGTTATGTTTATTTAGTTTCAGCTGGTCTTGATTTTGGTCTTAATTTAACATTAATTATTGTTCATACAGCTTTACAAAATAAAAATCAATTTTTTCCACAATGGTGGGGAAATCGAAATACAACTATTTATGATAGTTGTGTAAAAGCTATTTAAACTTCAAAATTAGTTTTTATTTTTCTAATTTTTGAAAAATTATTTGTTTAATAAAAAACACAAATATTTATGAAACAAGAAAAAAAAAGATTAATTTTAAGATCCAATAAGAAAAACAAAATAATTTTCTGCATAACCTCTATTTTCAAGATAAAATGATATATTATAATATCCTTCTGCAATGCCACCAATTGTTTGAATTAAATAATTCATTCCAGCTTTAGTTTCATCATTGTAATAATAATCACCTGAATAAGGATTGTCAGATAAAATATCGCTTGTTGAATTTCGTGTACTTGATAATATACATTGTCTATAATTTTTATTTAAATAATTTAATTCAAAATCACCATCGTTAATAAGATCTTTTTTATATGTTTCATCAATAAATGAAATATTATCTAATGACCAAGATGCAAAATCATGACGGAAACCGAAGATCAAAAAAATTCTTTCTGTTAAAGGACTTGGACGATAAAGAAAACTATGTAATGTATATGGAAATGGTTCTTCATTTATTAAAACAAATATTCTTTCAATCGTTGACATCGATTTTGTACATTCATTTTCCCAATAGTCTATTTAAGACAAAAATAATTTCATTTATTTTTTTTGTTATTTTCTTATTTCTAAATACCTTTTGAAGGATTTATTATATTTTGATCAATTGAAGATATTTCTATAACTAAATATTTAAATTTTTATTGTGAATAAAAAAAATAATAACAGAAGAAGAAACAAACTTGAAAGTCTTCCAGTTATATAAACAAATGGAATACAAATTGTTATTACAATGAGAATCACAATTGTTATAAGTATAACAACCAATGTTTCTTTATTAATCAAACTGTTTTCAGTTGTTCTAAATAAAAATACGAAAAATCTAACAAAAAAAAAAATCAATTCTTCAAATGCCAATACCTAATCATCAAATTTTTTTTGTAAGTCAATAAATTAATCAAAAGTTTTTCGACAATTTCCAAAAGTTATTTTTTAAATATAATTTTCAATTGTAGTGAAATTTCGTATGAAAAAAATCTTGTTTTTCTTTTATAGGCGTATCATAAAATATTTTGCTTTTATTTTTCTATTTATCAAGTGGTAACATCAGGGTGAAATCAAGTGTAAACAATGTGAATCATATGTCTCTTCATTATATATGATTTTATGAATATATTCATAGCTGTTGGCTTTATTGACGTTCTATTAATTATTCGTCGATTAAAAATATTAGAAAAGATTTTTAAAATAGTATGAATTTCTTTTGAAAATTATAAAAAGAAAACATTAATTGCATCGATTAAAAGCATTTTTCAATAGAATTTCAATCGACAATTATTCTTTTTGTAAATATTTTCTTTACTAAAACAATTTTTTTGATCCTTTAAAAAATAATATTAGAAAATGTCTTTGTTTAACAAGTTTTTCTTTTATTTGGAACTTGAGAGTGTAGGTCTTATATTCATTAACTACTCGATTCGAAAAAAATAATGATGAGTTGTATTATGTATTCGTATGAGAAATATTCAAATGAAATATCAATAGAAATTCTTTTAAGAAATGAAGATTAAACTTCAGCTAAAACATAGTTTGATATATATCTATAGTAAAAATGTTATGTATTATACAGTTGTTTCTTCTGAGATTCATTTTATATTTAAATCGACGTGAACATTCATCTGATAAATAACTCTTATATACTTTCAGTATTCGTTTGTAATAATCTAATGCAAATTTTGGTTGATTAAGATGTTTATAAGAGAAACTATCATCAATGTTTTCTTCATCTGCTAATTAAAATATTCATACGCATTAAGAACCAACCCTAGTGAATGTACTGAGCTAAGAGTACCTGAAAAAGTATTCTGCTACTCTAGCTGCTACTAGTGTGTCACAGGAACTTTCGGGTACTAAAGTATCTTAAAGTATTTTTAGGTACATATAAGATACTGGGGTGGGTATCCTGCTGGAAAGCGTCTAGTAAATGGGTACTTGAAGGTACTAATCAAATACTCAACTGGGTACTATTGCACAGTATTTTTAGATAGCTGTTGCCAAAGTTGCAATATGTTGATGATCGAACCTAACCTTTGACTTTTTTCATTTTTGGGTGTGGGGTGTGGGTTGATGTGTTTTTTGGTCATAGTCACATCCACACGCCCACGCCCACACCCACACCCAACTAGATACCACCAGCTAGTTTTCAACAAAAAACAGTCTTTACCGAAATTTTATTATTATGATATCATTTGAATAGTAATTAAATAGCATAGAAAAATAGAACGAAAGACGCTCTATCTTTTCATAAAGAAAATTTTTTCAACCTTTCTATAAAGAAATTTGGTAATGGCGCCACTACTTTTGGATACCCCTAAGTGATTGTTGAAAACATTTATATATAATTTTTGATTCTCGTGAAGTGTATATATATTCTTACATATTTAGCTTCTTATGTTAAAGTTCGTAAAAAAAAGTGTTTGATTTCTGTGATGTAATTATGCTGAAAATTCCCTAGAGCGTTCGATGATGACTAGATGGAAAAAGCTGTAATCGATAAAGAAAAAGAAATCGCGTTTCTTCTGCAGTTGTATATTGGATAATTTAATACCAAAACGACCAGAGCAACAAAATCTACAAGTTCTGAAAGTTTCAGGAAATATCCAGATGGCAATCACGCTGACTGATCATATCACATAGATATATTCATGAAAAACTAAGTAAAAAATTGTAGTATAAAATAGTTTTGGGGTTTTTACCTTTGACAATCAGAGTTTGGAGGAAAACTAATTAGTGCATGTTGTAGAGCAAGTTCGCCTCTATCGAACTAATAATAGTACCATTTTGGTTAATTACAGTTTTTTGATGGACTTTTTTCGTATACTTGTCGTCTCTAGTGCAGTCCATAGGGAATCAGTGAATTGTATAAAAAAATTTTGAATTCCAAAGGAATCTGATGCAGTTTTTCATAAGGAATTTGAATCTGTAATTGGTTTTATGATCCAAGTGAATAATGAGGGACTATTATGAAGATTTTTGATGGAAATATGGCTTTCATTTGTTTATTAGAAAAAGATTTAAAATATATCTATAGTATTTGGTTCGTATCTTTTTGAAAATAGAATCTAAATGTAAAAACTTTTTATCAAAATGATCAGCACAAAAAGACGTGATCGCCAGACCGACTGGTGAGGCCCCATGGATATACCCATAACAAGTGTGATTCTTTTCGAGTAGTGCGCCTGCTAATAAAAGCAAGAAAGAAATGTCTTTTAATCCTTCTGACAGTACACCACAGACAACATATGTATTTTGTGAATAATAAATAGTTTGACTTTCGAAATTAAAGATAAAATATCCTGTTATTGCGCTGAAAAATAACCTCAAGTATGAAAGTTGAATATTGCTATACAACTGTTCTAGAGTCACATTTCTTCTCTTTAGCATAACAAGCAGAACTTCGTATCATTGAGCATACAAACAGTACGTTCTAAGTTCGACATTCGTAGTTCTGTTTCAGTGCTATTTTAGTTCTCGTTCAGAATTACAGTAGAATTGTTTTCGATACTGATGATTCGTTAAAATATTTATTTGATGAGTAAAAAAGACGCAATAAATATTACAAGATAAAAACTAGATTTGATACTACCAGCTTTATTTATGTTCTGATTGTTACAATAGTTTGTATAACAGCATGTTACACCCATATAGGTTGTGGGTGCCATTAACATCTGCTGGCACGTCATATTTCCAACTACAGTCCATACCCATTTTTGCACTTGTGCTTGTTGTTCTTGTGTTGTACAACCTTGATCACCATTAAGACAGATAAATTTGTAGCTCGTGCATACGCATGTATCATTGCCACATGTGCTTGACATCATGTTCGTGTTCACTATCGTCACAGGGATAGAAGAACCCGATATTCCAGAATAGCAAATGATAGCTGAAATGCCAGAAACAATACAGACGAGCAGGATGAAGAAAACGAACAGTTTCATGTCTAAGAGAGCGTGTATTCAAATGAGAGAATATGTGTTCTGCTTCTCTGATTATTATTCCAAATTAAATATGCACATAGAAAAAATAATGGGCGAAATCAGTATGTGCACTTGCAATTGCTTATACGTCGTTCTTTTTCTTCTCTTTCCTATCCGTAAATAGAAATATAATCGGTAAAAATCAATATACAGTATTCTATGTCATTATGCTCAAGAAATATATTTGAAGTATTAATTATTTCTTAATAAGTTTAAACAGTGTGATTCAAATAAACGGTACAGGCACAAAAAAATAATTTCGCCTATCCTTTCTATTCGTTTTGAATATGTCCAACAGAATATGTCAGGTATAAATATCGAAAGAAAAGAACATAATAATTATAATCATAGTAAAATAGAATGACAAATAGTGAATTTTGAATTTATTATATTTATTCTCAATGTTTCGATCTTCTGAGAGATTATTTTCAATAGGTAGAACTTTAATTTTAATAAACTCAGTTAATTTACTATTCGCCAGCACATTACTATGATTGTGATAATTTTCTTTCTTTTACCGATAGCTGTGTTTCAGTTTTAAATATAATGGTATTAGGACATGAGTGCATGAGAAACATTGATAAATGAAAAGATTCTATCACTTAAAAATGATCTCTAAGTTGATCAAAACATTAAAAATAATTAAATACAACAAATTCAAAATTCATTATCTGCAACGAAATTTTACTATCATTGGAAAAATGTCAAATCAATAATATTTTCCAAAGATGAACAATTTTTCTTGTTGTTGTAATTAAACGCAACGAATTGTTATTCGTGATTTCTGGTGATAGTGATCAAGAAAATTTTTCAAAGCTATTGTCATTGTGAACATGACTGAAAAAACCTGTTGTTTTGATTATTATGATCAAAAACTATTAATCACATGAGACCCTATCGATATACCAACCACAACTCTAGTGTAAATAAGGTATTGAGATTAGGGGTGGCACTTTAACTTTACTTTAAAATTTAAAGTTAAAGTGGCACTTTAAACTTTAAACTTTAAAGTTAAAGTAAAACACTTTAAACTTTAAACTTTAATTAAAGTTTAAAGTTGTAAAATTTTTCACTTTAATTAAAGTTTAAAGTTTAAAGTGTTTCACTTTAATTAAAGTTTAAAGTTTAAAGTAAAACACTTTAAACTTTAATTAAAGTTTAAAGTGTTTTTAAAGTTAAAGTGCCACCCCTAATTGAGATATGGAATGAAAAATTTGTAAGAGCGTTCTTATGTGCTATTACATTGTGATTTAGATCTATTCTATTCAATATGGTGCATAATCCTTTTCTCATTTGTGAATACTATTGTGTTTAAATGATTGATTATTTTTAGCTGTTGATTCATATGTATGCCCCTCACCTGTTTTGCCTGATGAGAAATTCGTCAAAATCATTCCATCAGAGTCGAACTCCTCTTTTTCGTTCTCATGGGATTTTACTCATATTGTGTAACCCGTTGTGGGTGTTGATGTGAGTGAGTGTGTGTATAGATGGAGAGAAGATAATACCCACATCCATCCTTTACATCCTATTGATTGACATGTTGACATGACGTTCGAAAAAGTTTTAATTCGACAGAGAAATATCCTAACATGATGAAACTTTGGATTTTTGTTAGGCCTTTACTTTTATCTTATTATTCTCTTCCTTTCTTTTTAAAAAACAAACAAGTGAATCAAAAACAAAAAAAAAGCAACAAAAAATGTGATTCTCTCTCTCTCTCTTCTTCCATGATATACCTCCTTGTTTATTTTCAGAACAAAGAAATATCATGAAACGACGAGAAGGATGGGTGTGGGTGTGGGTGTGTTGTTCTTAATTCAACCCACATCCACACCCACCCACACCCACACCCCAAACCCCAAACCCCACACTTACACCCTCACACTCACACCCACATCCTCAAGATATAGAAAAAAAACCAAGAATAGAAAGAAAGCAAAAGTAATAATTATATTCATCTATGCATCTTTAATAAGTATGCCATATGGTCGAATGTCTTCAGGATTCGGTACGACCCAGATGCTCTTGTCAGAAGTAAAATTAACACCGTCTGGATTGACAGCTACCTGCAGCATACATTTGAACATCTTCTTTCCTTGTTGTGTATCGCACTCAACAGCTTTGACGTAGCCTACTTCAGGAAATATTGGATCTGGAGAACAGTAAACACCGGATCCGTATGCAGCAACTCTTGCCGAACGAAATCCAGTTTTATAGATACTAGCCATAGCATCTACAGGTGCAAATTTTTCTTCATAGGACTCTTCAGATTTCTTGAAATCGTCTTCTGAGGCACGTTTTGTTCCATGAAAAGCTCGGTACCAGTTTCTGGGATCTTGAAATGGCTCCAACCAATAATTGCCATCTGAGTACTTGCCCAATACTTTCAATCCATATCTCGTCCATCCAGCTGGTGAAGTATACGTCTGAGCTCTTCCAAGTGGACCAACTTGATAAGTTATGGGTGAATCTGGAAACGTTTTATTCCCTTTGTTATCAAAGAAAGAAATATCAAATGCTGGACGACAAAGTAATGGATGAAGTCTAACAGTGTTATACTGTTCAAA